TTCATGGGTATCGTAGCCCCATATTTCTCTTTCGAATGGTGAAAACCGCACCTCTCTATCTATCACCGTTCCGGAGCTATAAGGTCAACACTGACGGGGCTTACTATTTTGAAATGGATAGTAGTAGTCTCGATTAGACACCGTTAACCGCTGGATGCCGTCAGGACACATATAGATCTCTTGCACAGCACTAGATATTTACGCACACTCGAATTTTCGAAGATGTACTTAGACACCAAACAGATCCACTCTGTAAATCACTTCTATGAGCCGTCAAAACAATGGGCTGACCAAATAACGAAGGAACTCGATCAGTTTCCATGCTTAGTTCGACCGATTCACAAATTTTGTATTTGAACTGGATAAACAGAGAATTTTCAATTCCTATAATTCAGTATATAGTTTAAATAGTGTTCTGTGAAACAATTGCATTCGTCTAAATGAAAATGATTATGATAAAGGATTACAGTGATCATTGTTGAGATTATGTGATTAGCGTTTAGCCTACGATTGCAAATCGGCAATTTACATCATTCGGGTTTTCTGAGTGACGACTGAAGGCAGGCGTGACGTTTGCTAATGTATGATACATTGTTTAATAAAAAAACATTGAAAATATCTAAAACAATTTAACTTAGATATTATTTTAACACAATATCTCATTGAATTTCTACAAATATTAGAAAAATCGAAATTATCATATTATTTAGAACAAACAATAGATGTTTAACATCTCGAATTTATTACTCACCTTAGGATCAGTTTTTATATTGTATTCTCAACGATATTGTTGAGTTGTACTCGGATTATTAGCATTCAAAAGCGCTAATTCAAATCCATTTGAACGTATTTTACCACTAACAAAAACGTTGTACAACACAGTTGTGTCTTACAATAGTCACAGCTTTTTTGCTGTGACTATCTTGCTGGACAAACAGAGCGAAACAGGAAAGTTTGTGATTTTTTGTTCGCGGAACAAAACGCATATGGTAAAAGAAAGCTGCTTTTCACAGGACTCTGGCAGGCACATGAACGAAAAACGTTAAATACTAAACATCTACATTTCTGATTATTACCAATACACGTTTTTTTCACAATGTAAAAAACAGTCCTAGGTTTAGAAGTCAAACCGATACATTAGTACATATCAGAGCATGGACAAGTACAAATATACAAGTAAAAGTAAAAGTACTTGTACTTTAAGTAAGTTGCAAATACTTCAACCAATTTTTTATCTTTTAGTTCTCATTCGCTACTATTTTATTTTTGTTCTACTATAATATGATAGTCTGAGTTGGGAGTAAGCGGTGAAGAATCCTGCAGAACTGTCTAGATTATTTCTTAAGCTTTGATGACACATTATCGTTGAACTGGGTATAGAAACTGCAAAATTACTCCTGAGCGAAAACAAAGTATCTGAAATACTTGAAATATACTTAAAGTACAAGTACAACGTATTTTTCGACAGTACAAGTAATGTTCTAAAATACAAGTATTAGTACTTTGTACTTGAAAAGTACAAAAAGTTCAAGTAAACTATCCATGATCTGCTACATATTTTCGATTTTCTTATAGAAATAGCAGAAAGTATCAGAAATGGATGAAACAGTAGCGTACAAGATCATCAGATTTCTTTTTTTCGGTTAACAAGACAGTTCTGTAGATATAGTATCTTAGTGTATCACTGAAAAAAAATACTTGTGCCGATTGCACACTTAAGTTGTACGCCACTTTGGATGAATTTGCACACCTACAATGGCTTGCTCAGGGGAAAATGTCTTTTATGCACGATTTTTTCCGGAATTATGCACGGTTTGCTATTTTCCGTCCACTAAGAAATCTTTAGACTTTTTTATGCACGGTTACAGAAAGGTGCACGGAGACGTTTTTGTGCACGGTTTTTCAAGGAGTAAAAGATATTTTTGCGTTTTACATGCCGATGACCTAAACAAATAGGATGACCTACAAACAGACGTCTCGTTTAATACAAATGAGACTTATTGACTGAAATGTATGATAAATCTTAAACATTGGTGTAGAGTGAAGCTCATCTCTTTAAGAATTAATTCAATCCACACTGTTCTCAATACACTCTAAATATTTTTTCTTTAAACAAAAATCATGTTAAGAAAAGCTTGGAGTTTTGTTAATAAATATTTACAAAAAGATGATTTGGATGCTTATTTAAATCATAGCAAAGTATCAAAATTTCGAACGGGAAATGTGAAAGATGGCATTAAAGTTACCTATCATTGTTCGTCATGTAGAAAATATCCAGAATGTAGTTTTCAAGTTCGTGTGTTATTTAATTCTCAAAATGAGACAATTGTGCCGACAAGTGATACACATAATCATAAAAAAAGAGCTGATACAACTCGTGGTCCAAGTCCTGTTTGGGATATTAGGTAAGTCGGTCATAAATTTGATGGGAATACTAAAAGAGGATTTTTATTTGTAAATAGCTACATGCTATATTTTTTTGGCTAAAAAGAATTTAATAATCAAGCGACAGGGTACAGATTAACCTCGTTCTTCAAAAACCGTGCACAGAAAAATCCCCGTCCTTGCTCAATGTGATTTTATTGCGTGAAATAGATACATATAACTTACTTTTTTGTACATTCTGTATTCTGCTTTATTCTTTCAGTTTTTTTATGAAATCAACTATTCAAAATAATAGTAACTGGGAAAATAAGAGAAGTGCTGCATTATGCCCTCAGTCCTTATTTTTTAACAGCATCACGGTAAGGTATTAGGATAGCACCTAAATGATCAAATTGACGCTTTTATCATCACCATTACTTCGTACAACTATCATACATAGAGACCATAAGTTTTTTGTTTTACATAATCAGACGAAAAGAAAAGTTCTTTGTTCTTTAAAAACCATCGGAGCATGACCAAGAATATACATCCTTGCAGACATATGTTGGTTGATGATACCTTTGTGACAGATAATAGATGATGTTACCGCATATTAATGAAAATGTTTCTTTCCCTTTTCTTCTTCTCTTTTCCTCTTTTTACGTTATGACAACTAGTATATGATTTTTAGTCACAAAGCATTTTTAATATCCGTACATATGTTTCTCACCTTTCATTCTATATTGTACCATGTGTACATATCTATGATTATTGATTAAAATCTATAAACTCAGAATTTGCACCAAAACAAGGTTGTTCTTTTTCATATAGGTTATGAAAAGTATGAAACACACTATAAATATTTACTAATAACAGTACAAGAGTGTCCAGTTGTATATCTTAAAGAATTAATATTCAAGTAAGAAAATTTCTTTATAATTACTCTAAATTTAAATAAAAGCGGAACTAGGCAGTTTACCTACGGATTCTTTTCTGAACACACAAAATCTGCCTATCTAATACAGATGGTAATTCTTCTATAAATTATTTACTTAATTTATGATAAGTAATCTTAATCACAAATCGCTTTTAGCTGATCATATAAGATCACTCTAACTATCTATTATTTTCAGTTTATTTCAAAGATACTAACTGGTCCTAAGAACTAACCATTAACTAGTTTATCAGATTAATTACCTGGATCATACGATGAGCGGCTAAAAAGAAAACCTCTGTGTCAATATTCTACAGATGTAAGACTTCTCTTCTTCACGTCATAGTATGCCTTGGTTTTTGATGTGGTTTCTCAGTTCTGCTGTCCAATATTTTCTAATTTATTCTCTAAAATTTTTAATTTACAGAGTTCCATATCAATTTACTTTTAAAGTGATGTCTACTCAACTCTACACAATGGACAACAGTCTTCCCCGACCTCAAACATATTACTATTATCTACAAAATACTATGCCATCACTTTATTCATCAATTCCTTTCAATAACAATAACTATATTTTTTCTAAAATAGCTGTTTCATCTTCATGTGAGAAGCGCAGTAATCCTAATGATAAACAATCACTGAGTACTTATCGAACAACTCGCCGTCAGTCACGAAAATATCGACAAGTAATTCGTTTACCTGATCCGGAACCAATCTATCGTACAATTCGTCGTCGAATGCCTACGCCCGAACGACAAATAATTAATAAAACAATAATTAAAAAACAAAATGGTGATATTGTTGAACATATCCAATCACCAAAGAAAAAAATAAAAGATAATGGCTTTAATCGAAATAGTGACTAAACAAGCACGATTTATTTGTACTTTCCAGAAACATAGTTCAATTCCATCATAATCAGATATGTTGTGTGTTTTCTTTTTTTCGTATTAATACTTTTAACTTCTACTTAGTATAGATACGACAATGAATAAGAAAAAATAGAATAAATAGAATTAATTTATTTAAAACCTCTCTCCGTCCATGGATACGAACAAGTTTTGATAATATGGTCATATTGATAGGTAATATAAAGATTTTTTCAATGAACATATTCTGTATCACAAACTATTCACATATATCCTATTATAATCTGATTAACTATCGTACATTTTAAAAATATTTAGTGGATAAATATTCAAAATTGAAAGCTAATTCTTTTATGTGAACTGTATAGAAGTTTACTAAATAATTCAATATTTAAAAAGAGATGACGGCAAACGGAAAAGTATCAAACTGTTTATCGTTGATATCTCGTTATCACTCTCAACACAATTCTCAGTTGACGATAAACGCGACAACAGGTCTATCATTGATATATCTTATATCATCAATTTAACATTATATCTTGTTAAAAGGAAAAAAGCTGAAAAGATCCCGTAAAAATTACAGAATGGATCCCGTATACTAAAATTTCGATAAAAATAATGGAAATGATTCCGGATTTAGAAAAAAAATATTTTCGACAGAATTTATCACAGAATAAACTAATTTTTATATTTATTGTGCAGAATTGATCCCGGAAAACTTTTTTCTTTCTGCGAACAAGAGAATTGATCCCGGTTGGCGTATGGTGCGAATGTAAAGACGGCGTTGAGACATAAACAATAGCAATGTGCAGCGGTCACATCTTTTTTCATACTTTTTTCACTCACATCACTTTTGACTATTACTATCACTAGTAAACAAACTATGGCTCGAAAGACATGGCTATTAGTTTTTAAGTGTGTAAACGAAACTGATTTATTAAGTTTTATCAAAATTCAAGGTGTCTGCAAAAATCGAACTGAACGATTCATTGATGGTTTATCAATTACATATAAATGTTCACAGTACTGAAAATATCTGCTATGCAAGTATGAATTGAATATAGTATATAGAAATCAGCGAA